TCACCATTAGTTTTTTAATCAAGTAGTTTCCTAATGAAACAACAAATTAGGCGACTACAGTAGCCACTGTGGCGAGGGAACAGTTTGCAGTTGAGGGACTCACACTGCATGAAAACATGGAGCTATTTCAGAATTAGTACATACACCATATTGAAGATAAGGTTTCAGCTCAACAAACATCCAGACCAACTGACACTTCCCGTACCCGGTGAGCAAAAACAGAGAGGAAATTCAGAGCCTCACAATCCTGGCTTGACATCTGAAGGCTTTTAATGAAAGAGACTCACGCCACTGACTACTGTACACCTGATCCACTACTTCCTGAAAGTTCCTTGGGACACGGCCCAACTCAAGAAAACCGCAAATGGCCGTAAAAAACTATTACGAAGAGTTGATATGTGAATCTGTCGTTTTCAAAGTTTGGATTTAATAAAAAGTATATAAAAAGTGGGGGGTCTGGAAGACTTTTGTAAAGATCTGTTAATGTTACCCCAGACGAAGATTAAAATTAAAAAGTCCATAGCTTAACATCTGCAGGTATTTGGTCCACAGATGGTCTGAGCTACAAGTTTCTACTGACCGGCTCACTCCTAGTTCCTGATGTTTCACACTGCATGCCAACACATTACTTGGGACCTGATGCATAGGCATGTGATTTGTGCTGTTGTCAAGAAAATTGAGCAAGACACATTGGTCAATCCGTCTGCAACACACTACACATCTGATTCGACACTTTATGGATGTGTAGGAAACATACAGGTTACGCTGTATGGTAAATGGTCCTATATTGTCCAGCTGGAAACTTTCCCCATAAATTCCTACAAATCTGCTTTCAGTTATATAGTTATTTATCTGTTTCCAATAAGGGAGCCACTCATTATTACATGGTGGGTAATAGAAAAACTGTTTATAAACAGATATCAATATCTACTGGAGTTTCCATTAGTTGTGTCTGAGTTTAGTTTGAGGTTGAGTGCCACTTTTTATGGAATTTGGTGAAACATAGAATAGATAATAACTGATAAATAATCAATAGAACTGTAATGAAATGTGCTCAGAGGTTTTTCTGAAAGTGCTTAAAAATTAACATATAAATAATAATAAATAAAGACTCTGCTGAGGAATAAGTATTATAGCATGGGTCAGGTCTGCTTTGTTCCTTATTCCCACACAGGACACCTTGTTGTATATTATTGCTTATTCAATGTGCAACCTGGTAGTGAACTCTAACACTGTGACCCTGTGTCTGCACAACATAAGACACGTCATTACTACGGTCAATACACAGGTAGCTTCAGTATAGCCACACATTAATGTGTGAAATGTTGTCATAAAGTACTATTACAGTGTAATCAGGCTGCAAATAAATAACTTTCTTATTCATGAATCTGACAAATATGTTCTTGATTACTCTGAGTCATTTAGTCTATAAAATATCAGAGAATTGTCAATAATGTCTTGTTTCCAAAACCCATCTGGATGGTCTCTAAACAAACATCCTCAGTGAGATGTTTAGACACGTGGTAGAAAAAAAGCCAACATCAAAATGAAAAGCTGTGAAACAGGATTGCGTTGAACATATTCAGGAAACCTGGGTGCAGAATTAACTGTTAGTTCCAGTGATCTGAATGTTATTAACACAATGGGTTATTTTACATTAAAACAGCAGGAACAAACACCAGCTTTCAGGTCAGACAGGTACTGTCACTGTGTGTTTAAGGCTGTGTAATGAGGCTCTGTGTTTTACATGCGTTCTCATTTTCAACTTGGAAACTGAAAGCTGACAGAGGAGCAGACTGAAGGATTTGGGTGGAAATGTGTCACATTATGATGTTTAAACCAGAGTACATGGTTTCGTTTGACGATGCTGTGCAGTTGATCAATAACAATGATTGAATCTCGTATTGACATGGTTTATCAGGAGTGAAACTGTCTGTACACACATATCTAAAGTGAGATCTTTGCACTGAACTGTATGAGGATCAAACTAACGCAATAAAACCATGAGTTAATGTAACGTACTTCACACTGAAACACAGAGTGAATGTGTCTCGGTGACTGTGGGGACGTTGGTATGTTGATGACCTGCAGCTACATGAAGCAGCAGAGGTTGCAGAGTTTTCAGCTGCCATGTTATTAGATTACCACTGGCTAATGACAGCTAGCTCCACCTGCTAAGGATGTAGCAGCTCGTGTGCAATGAAAGGCGGTGAAATTGAAGGGGAATGATGCTGCGGCCTGTGTATCTTGGTTGGCATTTCCCCAGTGGACATGAAGTTTAGTGTCTTCACGCTTGAGGACTTTAGAGGCTGCAGTCAGAAGGCATGGCAGGGCCCGGCTAGCTTAGCCATGAGAAGCTAATCCAGCTAGCTAGCCAGTTGACCTGCCGTCCTCTCAGAGCAGCCTCCCTGGTTTCATTGGGGGGGGCTGATAATATAAAAACGAGCACCGCAGCTTCACCACAGGTTTGATTCCCAAAACATGGGCCTGCCCCCCCTCCGCCCCTGCGTCTCGCCCCGCTGACAGAGGCGTCCCCCCCTCCCTCCTTTCCCTGCTCCAGAGCCGGGCCCTCCCCTCCTCTCCTCTCCTACCTCTGAATTTCAGTTCGTGCGGAGGCTCCAGGAGCAGAACCTGTTCCGGCCTGGCCATGTCCCAACAGCTGGAGCGGGGTTATCGCGCTGCTGCAACCGAGTTCCTGTCCGTCACCCCCGAGTCAGGGCGTCGTTGGGCGCTGCAGGTCCGCGGGGTGGTCGGGTTCTTTTTTCTGTCAATGAGCTGACGGCGGATAAATCCTGTGGCCCCCCCCCGGTCACTGGTGCTACTCGAGCTGCTAGCGGCTGTTGTGATGCAGCAGGAAGGGAGTGAGAGACAGCGCCGTGACGTCACTGCCTCTGCAGCGAGGAAGGAGGGAGGGAAGGTGGGAGGGGGAGAGTAAAGGAGAGAGAGGGAGGGAGGTTGGGGGAGAATAAAGGGGAGAGATAGAGGGAGGGGGAAGGAGAAAGAGAGATTGGGGGGAGTGGGGGAGAGAGAGGCTTTTAACTGCAAATCCACATTTTTCTATTTGAAAGTTTTACTGATGTATATATTTCTAACAGCACAGTCAGAATTATTCAATGCACATTTTTGTTGTGAATTTGAGAGGGGGGGGGGGGGGGGGGGCAGAGAGAGAGAGAGGAAGAGAGACAGTGGCACAAGTGGTGTTTGAGGATGGGTGATGCAAGGGTGCAGCCACCTTTCAGGAAAACTCAGTCTATGATCATTGTGCAAGTAATAGTAATTATACTATTCCTACTATGACTAACAACTAATAATAATAATAACACATCCATTTATTCATTATCTACCACTTATTCTCCTTAGGGTCCAAAGGGGAGCTGGAGCCGAGACAATGAGCAAGAGGTGGGGTTCACCCTGATAATGATAGTAATAATACATCTATCTCTGATTTAATTGATCAAAAATATCTACAAGTTCCCAGTTTGCAGTGAAAGTCCAGGTAGACCCTTTTTATCCAATTACTGAATCTTTACTAAGAAATTAACTGATGAATGAAAAAATATTAATGACCTTATTTCTGAATCCTCACTTTACTTTTAGTGCCTCAAACTTTTGCACAGTACCGTGTGCAGTATATACAACCTTACTGGGATTTAGAAAATGATTCTGGGAGGTTGTCAAAGAAGTGTTGTGACCTCTGAGTGTTACTTAAATTGCAGTGAAAATCCCTCTGCCCATCAAACACACATCTCAAGTGTCTAATTCATATATATAGCCAGACTTCTGGCTGCCAAATAAACAACACAACCAATCACTAACAACATTGTCACTGTATCCCCAAGGAACAAGTTAATGCACACGTCTCTTGAGTCTCTATCAGTGGAGTAAAATAACTAGACAAAGACAGACACTGGAAGAGAAGGACAGAGGGTATTTTTTGTCAATCTTTTATTAGTAAACAATTGACAATTCCCTTTTTACACATTTTGGAAATACACCGCAAACAAGAGTTCTCAGGTATTTTGTTACAATCAATATGAAATTTAATAAAAAGCTAAATATGGTAACTATAGTTCAGATGGTGACACAGCAAATGGTGAACATTTCCACTGTGGTCACAAAACTGGCTTAGACTAGAATAGAGTCATTGATATGTGTGCATTTGATGGTATTTATCTACACTGAAAAATATACACAATATAGATTAATCACATTCCCAGGGCCAGCCCAAGACTAATGGTATTTTTCAATGAAAATTGGCAAACATTATTCATGCCTCCTGTTTCCAAATGAGGGGAAAACACGTCATTATCAGAACTCAAATATTTTTGTAAGTATTTTATGCGATTAGTACTTTAAATCATTATATTACAACAACAATAAAAAATGGTTAATTATGCATGATGTAGTAAAATAATTTTGACATTATTTGGCACCACCATCTTCATCGCAATACGAGCTGCGCAAACGGTCCAAACCTAAAATAACACCATGGGATATTAAAGAAAGTCTGACACCCGTGCAAGAATGTATCATAAAGTGATTCACAGGCATATTAACAGGCTGCAGACAGTGTTAGTTCGTATTAGGAGCCAATTAATACAAACACTCAGTGAGTCAAAAGTGCAGCTGCAGTGATTCCCTTTTAATGTAATTGCTGAGGTTTTAGTAGCTAGTGTTGGTATTATGATGTCATCCTATGTGAATTATCAAAGACAGAGGAGGGAGTTGAATGTTTAGGTTTTGACTCTCTGTCATATGATGTATGAGCAAACCCGTCACCAAATACACATAAAATGAGGTTCATATAAACCTGTCATTATTCTGTTGGAGAGCTTTTGCACAAGTATTTTCTTTCCTGTGTGAACAGATCACTCTGTAACTAATGTCTCCGATTAGGTCACATTTTACCTTTGTCATTATAACAACTATTGCACTCCACAGGAAAAATCCTGAAAGATTAGGCAGCGCTCCTCAGCACAGTGCTCATCAATAACAGTTACATTAAGATGCTTAAGGCAAAATTATGTGTCTTTCTAGAAAAGCACACAATTAATGTTTATAAATGCACAGATGCAGTGTTATTAAGAATATATCTGCATTTCTTTTGGCAAGTTTGAAAATAGGTTTTGGGGCCGAAGGAGCTCATGAGATCCAGGGAAACATGAAATACACAGAATGAATCATGAGTCAGTGTGGGCTCATGGATCAACTGCTGCTGAAGTTCAAGCAATATCAGAGGCAAATGAGATTGCTGTAACATAACATAAGGATGGCAGAGAAAGAAGGTGTTTTTTTCTGGATTAAAAGGTGTTGATGTGAAAGCTGTAACTGTAAAATGATTGAAATCTGGCTCTACAATATGTTTGTCATTTAGAGGAACAACACAGAAAAGAGAGAGAGGAAAGTCAGACGCTGGAACAAGGTGCATACAGACTGGAATGGAAAGAAGGTTCATTAAGGGGTCAGCATGTCAACACAGTGTAACATCTGATTCTCCACCTATAAACTTCTGCTGCGGGGAGATTTAAGCTCGAAAATCGGAGCTTCCTCTGAACTAAGTCTAGTTTCCAGATCTCGTATTGTTTCCATCACAGGGCAGGCAGTAAAACAACTTTAGATGTTTGAGCGGGGGGGGGGGAGGAAAAATATTTATCACACAATTAAAGAATTTGGCAATACCTCAGAAATACTAGCCTCTCCTGTAAAATTTCTAGTAAGTAGCAGCGAAAGGCTGCAGACAGACGGCCACACCGTTGAATGTGAAAGTTACAATGAGATTTGAGGAAAATTAAGCTTGAGTAATATTTGGAAACAACCAGCAGGATTTTCTGTGCACTGTGGGGTACATCATACACAAGAGCCTGTTCATGGATCTTCAGCAATTACAAGTGGAAATGTGGAACACATGTGAGCAGCTGGAACTGCTCTCTTATAATCAGCTTCAAGACAACCAGCAGAGTCAGAGATTTCAGCCCTGATTAAAGCTCTGTCATTGGAACACGAGGACTGTTGGCTTGACATTTTACGACAATTCTAAGTTATTGTTATTGTCCAGGGGCAATCGATGATCAAAATATCCTGCCCGCAAAGAGAGAGGAACAACTAATTATAGATTTAATGGAATAGTTTGGATAATATGCTTATTAACTTTGTGGAAAGTCAGATGAGAAGATCAAAACCACTCTCACATCTGATCATTAACTGGCAATAACAAACATTTGGTTAGCGTAGCTTAGCATGAAGACCAGAAAGAGGTGGAAACAGCTAGTCTTCATGTTGAGCTATGCAAAACAGCTCCTGGCTCCAGGCTCATGCAGACGCAAGAGAGGAATCAATATTCTTATCTCAAGAGTGCTTCCAAAAAATGTTGAACAATTCCAACATTATTAATTTTTTATTTTCATTATTAATTGTATTATTAAAAGGAAGCAGATGCATACGCACCTTTTTTCTGCCTACCTGACTGTGTGATTGTGGTTTAGATCAAAATGCCTTTTTGATATTTTGCTTTGATGAAAATTATAAATTTAAATCAAGCATGCACAATCTTTCTTCACTTTGATCCTTCAAGTAAACATTAAGATGAGAGATTGGTACTAACGTTGATAATCTCTTTGATAAGAAATGTCCGATTAATTACTGATTATACACATTAATTATAAAGATGGATCCTTCATAACGTTGATAAGTTTTGGGGAGAGGGTCTCCCAGGAAATTAAAGGCAATAACTTAAATATTATCAAAATAATTTGTTGAGATTTAAACATTGTCAATTCCCTTTTTGTTGAAAGATAATATATTTGTACAAATTTACAGGTACAAGTGACTTCTGAATGAATATGATGAGTCTCTGGTCAACATGAGACTACAACATACCACACAGAGACTGAAGTCCATTATAGAAGCCAGAATATATGTGTATGAGTCTTTCCCTGTCAAATGAATATATTTGTGCAACCATGTTTGTCTGTGCTCTGAAAGTATTTCACCTGAAAGCAACTTGCAGATGACACATGATGATTTGCTGTTGTTAAGCAACACTATGCATATTTCTTACCTTGAAATAGCAGATTCAACATTAGTTTGATGGTTCATTAACTTGGAATAGGGAGAATTTCCACTCCTCACCCTGCACTTCTCTTCTTGCTCTATGTGACAATCTCCTGTGTTTATGTGACTGATAGTCGCAGCTTAAATTGTCAGAATCACGCTGAACTGCAGATAATTTAAAAAGACTCCAAGTCATTAAAAACTACAGTTTATGTTCAATATTTAGCCAAGAAACTTTTAAAATATGAGGAATTCTACGCAGAGTTTGGTGGATTTGTTACAGCGGCAGCTCCTCTAGTTCAGGAAGCCAGGGGTCATTTGTAATATTCCCCGTTCAGTTGCTGTGTATTGTGAGCAGTTAAAGCTCCAGCTAAATCTGAATTTATCATCACACGTGGCTGCAGAGGGCGCTGTTCCCCGGTAAAAGTTACATAGTGTTGCTTTAAGTGCTTTAAAAATGCATTTACTATCATCATCAGAGTGACACTGCTGCACCCGGCAGGATGTCTGAGGGCGCGTAGAGCCGTAAACTGAGGCAGGTCAGGGACGCAGAGAATAAGGTCAGGTCATAGGTCATGTGGGAACAGTCACCGGCATCATCAGCAGCACGTCCTGCGAGACTCTGAGGCCTGACGTCCCAGTTTGAAACCTTTTCCTGAAGTTCCTCCTGCTGCGTCTACAACGGGGATCCGCTTACCTGTGAGACAAACACATATTTACATAAGTTCCCAACATTCAGCTTCTCTTTTCTCCTTCAAGTTCTACATGCACAAACTTTTGTACCATTTACGCTATATTGTTTTACTCACCAATTTAATTAAACTACACAATTTGTCATAGTAGCACTGAATATCAGTAATTGACATTAAGACAGTAGCTGTTTACAGGTGCTTTAGATCACTGGAAATTATTTGCATTATTTGTATGTGGTGACATGTAAAGTGACACAACAACAAAAGACTGGCATACTTTACCAAAAAGTGATATTCAACACCTGAGTGTTCCAGAACCTTTAGGAAGTACTATTCCCCAAACAGACTTTTTGGGGAAGTAAAACTATCACCATGGAACTTAATTCAAACCCAGGTTCTCCTGCTGGAATTGCAAGTGGTTGAACTGAGTTCTTCAAAAGGTTCCTGTTCCCCAAGGAAACCTCCTGCTGTGGTTACACATTTTAAACACACTTAAAATGTAGATCTAGTGTGTTCATAATGGATGAGTTAAGAAACAAGTAGATTTATCAATATATTAAATATATTACGAAATTCTCACATAATGTTTTGAGCAGCTCAAGTCAATTTGTAAATGTGGTGAGACAGTTACAGAAGATCTTGCAGCATAAAAAGTAATTAAATGTGATTAAAACTTTAAATCTCTAAGTTTTCTTCCCACTTTGAAGTCTCTACAGTACTGTAGTTATTATAATTGCATGTAAGCATAAAATGTTTAAGTATGTTGACTTCTTGTAACTTTGGAAAAAAAAGATTTACATAAAGCACATACTATAGGCATGTATTGTGTAATATGGTAATCGGACACTGCTAATATGTATATATCTGCCATTTGAGAAATTTACTTCATGATTATCTGTATCTTATCCTGAAGCAGCTCATCTGTGTCAGAGCTCTGCTTCACACAAACACTCATAACACTCTGGACACATTTTGAAGAGGTACCTCTATTCTGCAACACTGCTCAAAACACTGTCAGCCAGTCTTTGAGACGCAGTGAAGAAGTAAACTGTGTTAATGCTGTGAAAATTAAAGAATTACACGACTCATGGGATTTAAGGATGTGTAGGTCAATGACAGCCAATGTTGGAGAAACACACTCACTTATCTCTATAAACACCTCATTGATGTTAATGGCGTTCTTGGCGCTGGTTTCTACAAAGATGGCATGAATGGAATCAGCATAATCCTTGGCATCTTTCTCTGGCACTTCCCTGTAAATACAAGAAGTATGTGAAAATCATTATGTTGTAATATGTTCACAGATGTTCTGATTTCCTGGATGATCTAGTAATCTGGTAATTTTTCTATACAGCTATACGGACGAATCATCAATTCCATTGATGGAGCATATGTATTTGTGAAGAACCAAACGTGTATCTGCATCTTAGTTTGGGAGTTCTTTAACTTTTTCAAAGACATCAAGGAACAACAATAAATTATTTAACTACTCCTTAAACACTAAAATATGAATATTTATTTGGTCCACTATAAACAAATACAACTTTCCTACTGGAAAGGATCAAGATGTAAGCACCTGTCCATATTTCAACTGCAGACAGAAAACTTATGAGTAGGAGTCAGTTTTATCTCTAACTCAGGTTCACCTGGCATCTAATAGGTCACATTTGTTTCCAGCGATGGCAACCACGATGTTAGGAGGCCCGTGCTGACGCAGCTCCTTCACCCAGTTCTTCAGTGTTTGGAAGGACTCCTGGTGATACGAATTAACAGCATGTTTGAATGAGAGGACCAATAAACAGACACCACATCATATCATATCTCTGGAGAAAGGTCAAAAGGTTCGTTAGACATTCTGGGAAACACACTTATTTGCTCTCATGATGAGAGTAAGATGGGAGGATCAGTACCACTCATGTCTCTATGTTATGTTTACAGCTGAAGCCAGCAGGCAGTTAGCTTATTAGGCATAAAGACAAGGACAAATAGCTTCCATGGTTCTGTCCAAAGGGAGGACAACCATATGATATACTATATTTATTTTACAGAAAAGCCAAAAAACCAGGGGAATATGGCATGGGATATTTCTTGGCCAATCCATGAAATTGTTTAGCACATCAGAAATTAGTGTTGTTTTAATCTTCTCATCTAATTCTCATTTCCCCAAATGTCAAACTTCAGGAAGAGACACAGACTAAATCAACGAACGTTTTCAATAAGTAATTGGTGGATTAGTGGTTAAGGAGAAAAAAAAAGCAAACAATACCTCTTTTGTGATGTCATAAACAATGATGGCTGCTGCAGAACCTCTGTAGTACATCGGTGCCAGAGCACGAAACTGTGGGAAGGCAAAGAAAGGAAACAGTGATGAAACACTGTAACAATTCTTCTAAAAGAAAAAAGAAGGTCCACTGTTGGACAGGGATGGAGAATACGTGTCTAAAGCCTCTCAATGAGATTCATCTCTGCCTAAACTAGACTGTATGATCTACTGACATCATTAAATATGGATGCAGCTTTGAAACCATGTAAAACAGAAGATGATCAGAGAAAATAACAATTTAAAAGATCATTCAAAGACAATTAATCACAGCTCATCTCTGGAGACACTTGATTAACTTCCAGTTTTTCATTCTTGGATGAGAACAAAAAATATAATTTCTCTATAATTGCCCTATTACATATTTTGACAGAATTAGTCTCTAGGGCTTTTAATAGACTATGCCTTATGCGTTACATAAGACCAGAACGTGGTGATAACTCTCACTGTGAGTTCCATTAGACTCAATAAAACAGACTTAAAAAAAACCTCAAATAATATAAATAAGCAAAAAAGACACAGTTTCATAAAACCAGAGGCCTTGTGCTACGAGCCCATAAGGCCAGCAGTTTAATTTAAAACTGCTCAGCTTGTGTTTCCACCAAGACCTCACACATGTGGGAGCCATCAAGAGAAAGATGAGCAGAATGTGTCAAAAGCTGTTAGCATTCTGATATTTATGGAAGACTATACATTTGATCTCAGCCCCACACATCACAAAGCCATGCATAATCAAACCAACATGTGCAGAACGTCTACACCCCTGGCTGCCTGGGAGGCAGGGGGTTATTTTTCCTGTGCCAGCTTTTGGTATTTTTCTGGCAAAAGACTTTCCAGGGCACCGTGAAAGCTGGCTTTAAAAATTAGCCTGCTGTCATAAAATTTTGGAACATACTGGATTTTTTACCTCATGTTGAAGGGAAAGAAACTGAGCTTCACAAATATCCAGAATAGTGTTTCAGCAACCTTTAAGAAAATTAACAAAACATAAGGCAGAAAAAGACATATTACTAATTCCTTTAGCATTATTTAGCTCCAGGGATGGAAGGTAACTGAGTAAATTTACTCTAATATGACATTTAAAAACACTGCTACTATACTTACTTCACTACACTTGAGAAAAATCACTTGAATAAAGTTACTTGTTACCTTACTGATTTGGATCTGTTTATGAATAAAATATTGTAAAGGAGGCATTGTTCGGTATATAATTGTATCCAACTATTACACAGAGAGGTGTTCTTGTTAGTTTGCCTACCGTCATTCAACAGTACCACAAACTACAACCCACCAAAATGACCATCAAGTTGAATCAACCTGAATATTATGATCATGAAGGGTTTATTTCTATAAGACTTTTATATCAGACTGTATTAGTTTATCTAATAAACTGGCAACTGAGATCTGAAGGTTACCAGATAATTACTTTCCATCTCTAACCCCTCACCTGTGAGAATATTGACTCCCTGCCTCTAGTAATATAGGTTGGATATGGGCTTCTAACAGACTTATGACACCATGTAATGTGTATTTACAAATTATATTTATTTTAAAAGAAGCCCCCATGTCTCAGACTAGACTTGGAATGACCCTCTTTCCCGCCAATTCTATTTTCCAGTACAATACAATGGAACAAACTATTCATCTTAGAGTGACACTGTTACCCCAGGAAAAGCACACATTCCACATAATTATAGTTGTTACTGGCCGTAAGTCCACCAATGGATATCCAACTTGGGATATTTGGCAGCGGCTCTGAAGAGAGTGCTGTCTCTTTCATTGGCCAGTGTTGGGCTGCAGCACCGCCAGTCCTGTGTGGTCTATCTGTGCCTTAACCCAGAGCAATCACACCGAGGCCAGCCGTCTGGCCACACAGCAGCCAAGCAAACAGCCCCACTGATACCCTGTGAGTGCTTATTAATTGCTGAAACCACACGCTGGGTGAATAATGAAAGGAACCCTCCTGTTTCAGTCGGATGCAAGGTTCCCTTTGCTTGTTTTCAGTGAGATGGAGCGCCGTGGAGGGGGAGGCCTGGAATGGCTGTTGACAGCTGGGCTCAGATGTACTCCTAAGGTCTCATGTGGTATTGAGATATGGATTGTGGAGTGTAGAAATCGCAGAGCTTTTCCTTACCGCCCGGGTCTCTCCTTACATGTGAATTGGCTGGCTCTGTACTCCCCTTACTCAACTCAACAGATTTTGATAGGCCAAAGCTCCACAGAGGTAAGAAAACAAGCCATGAAAGGCTTTGAAATACCACAGCAGCTTTGTAGGAAAACACACACACACACACACACAC